TACTAAAGGTAATGAAAATCAAATGAGACTATCAGTAGAAATGTGTCACACAGAACATAACAGAAATAGGGGTGATGACGGGGTACAGTAAACGAAATTCTATTTAGTAAGTCAGTTAGATGATGAAAAAATAATGGACACGTATTTTTTTTTGGGCAATCAACCAAAAAATGACAAAGTTATAGCGCGTCAAAGTTTGGGAGTAGGGGCTCGTGACGTCACTTTTGAGTGAATTTTCACTTATAAGTGTACTCAAACGTGACGTCATGCGACTTTTCAAATCAATATATCTCTGCAATGTTTATATTATGTGAAAAAAGAAAAAATACGTGTCCAATACTTTTTGATAATCTACCTGATAAACGAAGAAAAAAAAATTAGTCATCATCCTATTGCCACTGGAATGTTTATTCAACTGCGATGCGACATATCATAACAACAGCTTGAAGTTGTAAGACAAATCTAAACTCAGAACTAAACGTCTATCAAACTGCACAATGCAATAGATCTTTTGGCATAAACCCAAAATTCAAACTTTGCAAAGTGTTTAGCGAGAACTGAGTCACAGGCTAGTAAGTCCTTGTTTTTCTTCTTATTCATGAAATGCTATTGTTTTTTTCCTAATGGTACCACACTAATTTGTTTATGAATATTTTTGTAATTTTCCAGTTATTAGGTACTCAGCCGTTATTGTGATTTTAATGCGTTTACCACACGCACAAGCTTCACCACAGTTTGGCCTGCGCAAGCATCTCGCACGAAAAAACTGTACACTTTGTGCGTTACCACACGGCACAGTCAAGTACGCGCAAGCCTCATTCTTATCGAAATCATTGGCGTGGAAACAATGTTTCCTAATGAAGAAACATTTCTTATGCTACTATTTTTCAAGTGTTTGCTATTAAAAAACACATGTAAAAATAATAGGATATGTACATATGTGCAAGTAGGTAGGTAGTAGGTATTAGGCATAGGTATTTAGTTGCAAAAATTATGTTCTTACCTCTTTCATTTTATTTATCATTCTTTCGTAGGTGTCGTTCTTTTTATTTCGGTCGGAATAATCTTTAGATTTAATTTTCCAGAGTGCAGGCAGAGATTTGTATAAACTTATTAATTCAGACGTGAATTCGCGATTGTACGTACTCAAATCTGCCATTTTTGAGTGACGATGACGAACGACCTCATGAAACGACGAGCGAGCCTCGACACAAAGTACACTCGACTGTGGCTTGAACACTGAACGCCCAACCACACGCACAGACAAGTACGCGCAGGCCGGGCTTGCGCAGGCAAAATTTCAAGCAAGTCGAAAAATGCGCAGGCCGCTCTGTGGGGTTGGCGCGTGATACAGTTTTACCAACTACACGCACCGTGTTCCGTGTACAAACCGGCCTGCGCAGGCAAAACTGTGGTGAAGCTCGTGCGTGTGGTAGGCCCATAAAGGTACGTCTCATATCCGTAAGATGACAAGACTGGAAGTTTGCTTCGTATATTAAATCGATTATTAGGTATCAACTAATCTTATAGCTATTAACGGGATTGTTACCATATACCTTGTTTTTTATGAGTCTCCGATATTTCGGCACTGTTGCAAGCGCCATGATCATCAGTAACTGAGTTACTCCGTGATCATGGCGCAAAAATATGGTACATGGTAACAATCACGTTAATAACTATAATGTTAGTGACCATGAAAGTTTAAAACAATATATCAACTAATCTATTTAATTGAAACCGCATTTCTCTTTTGGTCTCCAGAAAAAAAAACAATACTCTCAAAACAATCTGCCGTTTTTCATTTTTTTTAAGAACAGACACATACGGTGATAAACCAAGGTGAAATTTACTGTCGTTCGTGAGCTGATTCCAAGGGTACTTCTTCTTCTTCCGAAGTACCAATAAGTATACAATGCAGTAGGAAATTTCAATTAAACGATACGTACCTACTCTACGACTCCAGGGGTGGCTGGGCCAATCGGTTTTTTTTAATAGAAAATTGCTTGCTAGTAGCATTTTAATAGACAAAAGTCGTACAAGAATTAAACAATATACATGGATGACCAGTAAACACAGAGAGTAATTATAAAGAACATCAAACGATTAGTTATTGTATATATGGTAAACTTTGTTACTTGGCCAAATCAATGATGGCCACATTAGCAAAATATCAAAGAAGGTATACAACGGGTTTCTCGTTCGATGCAACGAGCATCTTAATTAATTTAGTGTGTTTTAGTTTCCACAGAAAGTTGGAATTAAATAATGGATTTTGATTTGTAAAAGAAACCAATTTCTCCGCATTCGTAAGGCCGAGAATTTTCAATACGACACACACCAGTGAATTTTCATTCCGTTGCATAATTGAGCATCTAGCTACGACTCTCACTATCATAGCTTGCTTTAGTTAGATGCTTAAAGTCCGCAATGTAACAGTTGGCGACGTGCCAGTTCAACTTAGCCAACTGAACTCCTGAATCTGACAATAGCCGTTGCAAGAATTAATGCTGCTATGATACTTTAAATTTGAAGAAAAGATACTAAAAGTACAAAGAAAGAACGGATATTATTTAAACAAATAAGTTCGAACAAATAATTCCACCTACCCCAATCGTATCAATGATAAAAGAACCCAAGTACGAAGATGATCATGATAATAAATACAATTTACTGAGATCCTTCACATAAAATAAAAAATATTTTAAACTGGAAAATTTAAGAAAATTAAGAATTAATAAAGTAAAGTTTACTCGTGTGCATGTATAAAACATCATTTCGCATTTTGGAAGGTCGTAAAACTTCAAATTCCATCAATAAACCCGCTCATTAGCACACAAATAGGTTTCAAACTTAACCGCCTCAGTAAAATAAATTGAAAGGGGCCTTTAGGCAAACTGAGGAACGAGGTTAAATAAACAGACTTATTTCTTAATAATACAGTGATAACAACTAAATATTTGATGGATGGATCGAATTAAACAAAATCATTTAAAATAATTTTATACTTTCATGATCAAATTGTTCTATATAATTCAGTCGAAATTTAAAGGCTTGCTGAAATGGAAGCCTTAAAACTACAGTCAAATATATCATAAATAATACATATTTTTGTATATCTAGTATTTTTATATATATGTCAGACAATCCTAAGGTGTGAAAATTTGACAAGAAAATTAATACACCTAGGTAGTAAATAAGGCGACTTTTAGAATAAAAAGAGGCTAACCATTGTAATGCTAGAATTGAGATATTTTTATTAATCACACCAAAAAGCTTTTCACGTAACCATTATGTAATGAGCAGACGAACTTGATAATAAAGCTAGATTTTTTGATTCAATGCTTTTCATTGATTGTAAACGAAGGCGTTTTGTGAAAAGCTAAGATTTTTCACAGCTATTCTATTCTCATTACTGCGTTTGACAATAAGATGCGTCACGTTTTCGCCCACAATTTGCTCTGAATTAAATAATTCTAATAGCACCGTCACAATCACAAGGCTGTGTGATAATCATCTATTGTACCTATGAATAGAAATGCTTGATTTCAAATATAAATTTACATCTGTATGAACTTTGAAATAGAACACGTAAATTTTCTTGTAAAAGAATAATCATTAGAAGTAAAACGCTTTAATTAATATTCCAAAAATGCTAGATTAATTTTTTGCTTGAATATGAATTGCATTCGAATTAATAAATGAATTTCATTTGCCGAAAACCTAACGAGGGTAAGGTACCGATGGCATTCACAGATTACAAGGACGTAAATATAAATTTACTTACATAGGTATTTATAGAAAATTCCTTAAGCAATAGCCTCAGAGAATTGCGTAATTTAATACCTCCAAATCTTCCAGGGAAGAATGTTTGGTATTTAGATCTGATGAGTTTTCGTCCGAATGCGGATATCTTATGCTATAATTTTCGTTTTTTATGAATTTCAGAATCAAGCTTCCCCCCATAGGCGCGTTATTATCGGTCGCTAATATCGGATGCGTTATTGCGATACCTGTTTTTAGTACATTATGTATGAAAACGGCTATGAAGTTACACACTGCTGCGAAAATAACGACACAATAGAAGTATGACGAAATATCGCAATAACGCATCTGATATTGGTGTCGATCCTGACATGATTCTCTAAACTTAAAAGTAAATTTAACATCAGTCTCTCCTTTTCATTCTTTATAGAGAATGACAAGCACCATTATCGACTGATAAAAACGCGCCTATGGGGTTGAGGCCTTAAAACCTTCAACATCACATTATTAAACGGCGATGAAATGGATACAACCTTATTGTGTATTTTAATCATATATAAATGCACATGAAGAACTACTATTTTCTTGAAAACACATTATACTAAATTCAGGCCTATGACATTGTGATATTATTTATTATCAATGTCCTTGATTATCGACATACATGATTATAATTGAGACGTACGTATAAGAGATGTCCTTAAGCAAATGTCATTATTTTGATAATTATGATGTAATTAAGTATATGCAGTTAACTGAGGTCGTAGCTGTTTGAGTTTCTTAGAAGACAAACAAACATTTTATCTTAATACCTTGTATGATTAACTCAAACCTAGCTACGTCTTCCATTAGAAAGGTACAGAAGGTCTACAACATTTTGCATTTCATTGTAAATTTAACGGATAAAGTAAGTGTCTTCGGTATCGGTTAGCTAGGTAGTATCGTCAATCCAGAGATCGACACGACCTTACTTACTGATGAGCGCAATGCCGCATCGGATCAATCGAAATTACCGTAACATCAATTTGTGGGTTAATGACTACGTGCCGAGCATACAGTCCATGCATGACACCACAGAGGAGTAATAGTAGACTTTCTAAAAATTGAAAGAGCACGTGGTCCTTCTGTACCTGTCTGTTAGTACCGCGGCACGGCACGGGCACGGGTGGCGGCTCCCCGCCGGCGGGCCCGCGCCTGCACCAGCGCCGACCGCCTCTCACCCGTGCCCGTGCTTGCAGGATGCACGCGGTGGGCCTGCACTCCGCGCTCGCCATCCGCCGCGAGCGCAAGCGCCGCGCCGAGCAACAGCGCGCCAAGGAGCGCCGCTACTCTCTTCAGTCGTCCGAGTCCGGGGTCACCTCGCCGCACTGCTCCACCGGGAGTCTCGAACGACGCCGCTTCAAGAATACCAGAACCACTGACAATGAGGTCGTTTCTTCTGTGGGTATGCTCCACCTGGGAGTTGTATTTCTAGTACTTGGCTTATTTCTGGTCGGATCCGGTTGGCTGCCCGATAACGTCACTTCTTGGAGCAGCGTCGGCTCTGTCAGCTGGTTCAATGAGCTCGTATGTTCGGGCCTATTCGCACTGACTATTGGCGTTTTCTTAATTGCACTGCATAAGTACCTGACGAAAAGCGAGGAGGATGCTTTGGAAGACTACGTGCAAAGGCAGTTAACACGATCCCGCTCAGGTCATAGATTAGAGAGGGACGCTGAAACTGGCGGGATGCATACTAAACACGGCAGACGGGCTAGAGCAACTGAAGTACTTCCAGATACTATCTCCGAGACCTACGTAGAGCCATCGCCTGATAGAGTGCATGGCTTCGTTAATGCGCTTGCTTTGAATGGAGATGCTCTGAAAGAATCGCCCCTAGAACAGATCGCCGAGGAAGAAATATCGGTTACTTCAGAGACTGACAGAAGATTAGGCCGGTTTAACAAGGACACTTACTCCACGCCGTCTGTTGCACCAAGTTTGAGTCCAGGATCGCCTTCTGATACCAAGGAGTTGTTGTCAGATGGACGTTACATGATTATGTCTCGAATGTGAGCAAATTCAAGTTCGATAAATCAATGATTCTGAACAAATCCTTCGTATCTAGTGAAATTCTGTCACAGAAAATCCATTCAGAAATTCTTGTGCAGTAAAATTTGCAAACGCCGCTAGTGCGATTAGACATGTCCGAAATCAATGACTTATCGATAAATCTTCACGTTCCTAATCTCTGAGTGGAAGACTAACCTGTGAAGTGATTTGAACTTTTTAATCTCCTGTGATTGGGAAGATACCTTTTCACAAACTGTTATTTTAATGCCTATAAGTATTTTGTAACTTTGTAACCGTTCTGCTGATTCTTAAGAGTGTGCTTCGAAGCTTCAAAGCAGCATTCAACGGGTATTTTTTTAGTTTTGAGAATTGATTGTATTTTATATTTTAACAGATGGACCAAATCTTTTGTAGATTAGCAGTAAGTTAATTTACCTCGTTCATTGTTGCATGCATGTGATCTATTGCAATATTTGAAACACAACTAACAAAGGTTTAAATTATTTCTAAAGTAATTAATATCGACAATTGAATTAAAGGGGAGTTTGGTGCTAAAAAGTCCTTACAATCCAAAGTGTTTATTTACAAATCCCCTTAAAAAAATTAAACCGAAATCTCTTCAGGTGCTTGCAATAATAAAAGGGGCTATGATATGTAATATTAATTAATTATGATCGACATTCCGTGTGTTTTGGCTTGAGACTGATTGTTATATACTGTTCTTGTATCTAAAAGTTTTGTAAGTACGATATTAGTGTTTATTCGTTTATTTTTTAAGTATTCCTCTTGAAGTGTTAAATATTTACATCTTGAAACTTTATCAACAAATTTGTTGTTCTGACGATTTTACCTTTTAAGTTTTTAGTACCAATTTACTGATTTAAATAGACTCGTGCCAAAATAGTAGTGGCAATAATTTTTGAATTATTTTTACCTACTCTCGTATCTTATAAAACATTTTAATATTCTGCATATTATTAAATCAAGTATTTTAGTTTCCTTCACATTCTCACTTTAATGCTTCATCGTTATAATAACTAAGGATTGAAGGTTGTAAGTACTTAATTTGTGTAGCTAGTTTCTTTAAAATTATATTTATAATAATTATTTTATTTAAGGCTGTGAAACTCATTCCCGGAAAGACTTATCAGTCTAACGAGATGTCATTTCTTAAGTATATGTTACTGTCAATGTCCATCCACTCAAATCTTAGTTTTACCCAGTAAATCTAAGAATGTACTAACGTGAGTTGGTAAAATAAGCAAAGAAAATGACAAGGACACACTGAGAACATGGACACATTTTCAAATTTAAGGTTAGGTTTAAAAGATCATACCAGAATCAACTCTTATAAGTATTTTTTATATCCCTTACGGCTGTTGAGATAGACACAACAAAAACTAGCTTGTAGTTTCTTAAAGTCATAATAACTTTTGAAACAGCTGAGTGATTTGGGGAACTATATTTGCTGAATGCATTTCAAACCTCTTACTGTGTTAACGGTCTTCAATATCAATCGTTCCAAATTATATTTACATCTAAGGTAATTTTGAGAGATTATGGAGTAGACCGATGGTCATTCGGCAATTTAGCCTTTTACCAATCAATGTTGGTTACTCTTAGATATTACTAGAAATACCTCAGGATTTTCCAAAGTTTGGTCTTTCACAGTAACATATTTGACATTGAAACCATTGATATTATATATTAAGCGTACACAAAACACGAGCTTAGCTTCACAATGCTCAAATTAAAATAAAATTAGTTTTCACTTTCTTCAAAATTTCTCCTTTATCCTAAAACGACTCTTTATCCTCTTGTTATTGTCTAATATGATGAACTATCACATTGAATCCCTGTATGTAGAATTTTGAATTACACAATTCCAAGCATATGTTCAACAAGAATTGTTTCATGTTTAACATCTGCCCCCAAAGCACTAATATCCTAAATGTTAAGTGGGATGATGATGATAATGACTATGATGATGATGATAAGGGGGAATCTACCGAATAATATTTAATTGATAGTCCTACTGGTACTCCAGTCGTTTAAATTTAACTAAACTAGGAAATGCGCATTAAAATGAATGTTTGGCAAACGACATTCCAAACAAACCATTATTTAATTTGGGAGCCATTCGAAACCATTTCAATTTTTTATTGGATCATGAAAAAACGTTGAATCGGCATTACCGTATTTTACAACATTTCCGGTAATCCTAGTGCAACTAAGTGTACCATGTAGAAGTAAAACTTTCGATTTAAATTTTAAATAATACAGAAAAATGCTCATGTCTTAAAAAATAATTTTAAAATGAGCAAAACTTACAAAGCATTTGTTAAGTACTTGTATTTTCTAAAGCAGTGCTAATATTGTAAAACAATAAAGTAACACTTTTCGAAGATTCTGAAATTTTAATTTTTTCTTACAGTTGTGAAAGTTCATCATATTTTTAATTGTATTAGTAAATTTTTTGATCTCTATTTCTAGTCATAGGACTATGCTGTCTATAAAACATTGCCTTAATATGAAACAAATTCACATGTACTATATATTGTAATAGCACAATTTTTGTCGATAACTTGATAATATAAGTTTTTAATTGTTATAATGGAAAATTATTTGACAGTAGTCGAAGATTTTAAATGTATTATTTAAAAAAATCAATGAAGTAATATTGAAAATCAAAATAATTATAATGGTCTTTGTAATCTAACGAAATATTGTCAAAAAATATTAAGTATTCTAATAGTTTTCCATTATAATAGAGGAGTAGAATATAGTCCTATTAAATGTCTAGAACGGGCTAGCTTGTGTATGTCTTGGAATTAACTCTGTAAGATACTCATTGTATTTTGAAACCTGTGTAATGCTTCTTCTGTAGGAGAAATATTATTATGTAATTTCTTATTCTTATTTTATCTACACCCATGCTTTAAAACCTCTATTAAAGATTTTGAAACAGTTAGCTTATTGCCAACATTAAAACATCCAATGTCATAATAATAAAAATCCATTATAATATGCGAACTGATGTTATAATGCTGTACTAAATTTCATAATAACACTCTTTCGCTTTTAAAATTCCTTTCGCGCCAAGGGCTTACTCATCAAACAGCCACAATTTTCACTGCTCGATGTGTGGTATTATGAATTTTAAAAAAAGGACATTTTCATTCACGCGCGTTTTACTACCACAGCGCCGAAACTTTTCATGAATTTTAAGTTCTTAGAACGCCCCATGGCTTCACTATCTTTTATAAAGGATTCATATCATGGGTGTAGATAGAATCTTGTATGCAACTGTTTATAATTAGGTATTAAAACACTCTGGTGATAATAAACCTTGTATGTTAATACAGTATTCCAGATCGGTATTTCTTCCAGGAAGACAGAATATTTTCCATATTATAATTGTTCATTAATCCTTAAAAGTTACACATTTATTTTAAAATTAAAATATTTTCGATTTGTAACAAAAAGACTGGGTCACATAATTCAGGTTTCAAATACAAATTCATATTGAAAATGAGCTTTATATTAAGAGTAACAATTCGCATTCTACGTTATATTCTAATACTCAAGTTTGTTACGATTAATATACCGCTCATTATACTTACTATTGGAATAGTACAACAGTCCTATTAAAAATATAATTAAAATCACTTCCAAGTTGTTTTAAATAACAAGTTAAATTTATTTTGTCAAATATAAAGGGTGTCTTTCGCACTTCTTGTAAAATTAAATAAGTTTCGTTACATTCAAATTTGACGCACATAATAGGGGTGATGACGGGATCCAGTAAAGGAAATTCCGTTTAATTTAGTCCGTCAGTTAGATGATCAAAAAATAATGGACACGTATTTTTTCTTTGGGCAAATAACCAAAAAATGACAAAGTTATAGCGCGTCAAAGTTTGGGAGTAGGGGCTCGTGACGCCACCTTTGAGTGAATTTTCACTTATAAGAGTACTCAAACGTGACGTCATGCGACTTTTCATATTACTATATCTCTGCAATGTTTGTATTATGTGAAAAAAGAAAAAATACGTGTCCAATACTTTTTGATAATCTACCTGATAAACGAAGAAAAAAAATCAGTCATCATCCCTATTATATCAGAGACTCGAATCATCACTGCTCGGGCTGTTATTTTATTTTTTTTTTGATGAGAAGATTTCCTGTGTATTTGCCATCTCTATGACATTTTATATCTACTTCAGCGACTCTACCGTATGGTTGATTTGGAGTAGTGCGCACTGGCTCTGAAATGCATATATCATCGTAATGGCATTTTTAATACGAGGCGCAACAAATTACCCCACCTAATGTTAAGTATAAATGGAATCCAGTCGCGAAGATAGATGACGCCATAGTCACACACAGACAGACAGAAAAAAGGATGAAACTTTAGAAGCTGAATTTAAATATCCTTAAATATAGTAAATTTGAATGGAACATTGAAAATAGGTATAACGTAAACCGAAGTATACGTAAGCGTCAATATAAAAAAAATGGGAGTCGAAAGATGCAAAGCTTGGGTGGTTTTCAGATCGAAATATATTTTAACGTATTGGACTGTTTAAGCACCAATAGCGCAAATAATAGTGAATGCACACTTTAAGAGATTGATTGTGCCTATACTACTTTTGTACTTAGTAATTATAGACTACGTAGCTAGTACTAATATTCACTAATACTAATTGTATTAACACTTTAAGCTCCATTTGTAAATATTCTCATAGAGTACATGATTGTTCGGCCAAAAACATGTTTGAAGAATTTATAATATTAATTATCTTTATTGGCACTTTCAGAGTTTGTTATAGTTTTGCTTTTACATTTATTATTACAAAAAAAATAGTTCCCTGCGCGAAAGAAAGAAGGAAATGCATTACTCATCCTTCAACCACTGGGGGAGCGAGAAGAAGGTATGTGGGACTCCTCCCTGTCCCCTTCAGCCAGCCCTGGGGCTCGTTGAAGTGAACAGGGCCCTATCTACGCCCTGAACAGGGCCACTAAAAACCAAACAATACTCCTGCACCGTCACCCGACACGCACATGAGGACCGCGGTCCCCCTAGTGCCTGGGTTCCGAACCTGGGGGTAAATACCCCTCCGGGGGTAAATCAGCCATACTTCGGGGGTAACAAAGAACCTAATTATTTGGTCAAATTTAAAATAGTAAGAAAATACTATATAATAATTCTACTAAATGCGCTCCTTCTTGCTAGCGAGCCCGCGGGGTGCTGAGTGTGGGAAGCGGGGCGAGATTTTCTCCTGATGACAATATTAGAGACGAAAATGTAGCGGCCATATAGGAATTTCTTGGACTGATGATAACATTTTAAAGTGGGAGTAAAATCTGTTTTCCTAATAGGTGACAGGGGTAGCAGTATTGGAAAGGTTAGGAAACACTGCCCTAGTGCGTGCCGGTGTGGTCGCGAAACCCGTCTCCGAATGGCCCCGCAATTGCCAGGTGTTTGTCCGCGGACTTACCCACCCCGATGAAGATGCCCCGGAGCATCAGGGGCACTTTATGTTTTCGGGGTCACTGAGTCCAAATATGGTGCCAGAATAGCGAAGTAGGTTCGCGTTTTTTAACAACATAAACCATATTATAATAGAAAACTTAAAATTTCAGCATTATTGCTGATTTCTTAGAGAAAAAGCGAACTAACTTGGCTATTCTGGCACCAGATTTGGTCTCAGCGACCCCGAAAACATAAAGATTAGGTAGTCTATCTAGTCTTTCGTGCAGAGTATTTTTTTTTGTCGATATTTAATTCATAAATTATGACTTAGTTCACGTATGCACAAAATTACATCAGGTTACAGCAAAGTGCCATAATTTTGACCCTAACTTTTATAGTTAAAAATTTACAATAGTATTTTGCTTTTTTTGTATATTCTGAAGAGCAGCTATTCTTCGGTCATAAGATTGTAGCTTGAAAT